ACCTCAAATTTAAATCTTCTGTGCAGAAGCATGGCTACTGGATAGATCTTATTTATTATTTTAAAATGGTTTTCTTTCACTTTAGGAGATATAGGCCATTTGACAAATTTTGAATGAGCAGAAGTCATTATGGTTTTATGATTTATATTGGGAGGTTTCTTGAATGAATCTTTGTTGTAATCGTAATAAATCGTTTGTCGCATGCATTCATTGATCATCTTGTTATTACATTTGAGATCAACTAAACTACAGTCATTTAGTTTTAATGAGGGCCTATACTACCAATTACTTTTAAAAAAAATCACACTACATTATAGTACTTTTACATGTTAGTGGTACTTTTCCATGTGTAGTATTTGCACTTGTTTCTGGACTTTTTAGTTTTTATGTTTAATGTTTTACTTGTCTGTCAGCAAAATATTTAATTTAATGATTCAATGGACAAACATCTACAACTGTTACCCATCTCACAGCTGATCAACATCAGTAGACCCAGCCGGCCTACGTCAGTTGTTGGGCTGTAGTCCAGAGTGGTAGTAGCCGAGTCTTCTCCAACACACACACTGAGGTCTACAGGTTTGTCTGAAGGCAGCGGGCGATATGATTCCTCTGAGGAACAGACTCTTCCTGTTTCATCTTCAGGAGCTTCTCCAGACTGGTGCGGGGGTCAGAGGTCACGGCTTCATGAGGTCTGAGCCAGAATGAACCAACATGACTGAACGGACAGAGTCAAGCTCACAGCAGATCCCCGCTCCGCCGGGGTCAGAGGTCAACGAGCAGCAGGTGAGCCGGTCACATGATCCTCCCAGGGTCCAATCAGGGACGACCAGTGCAGGCGATAAGATACTCCTGCAGAGCTGCACACGCATGACAATCTGTTAAAATGTACAAACAAACAATAAACGAGTAGAAACAAAATAATAAACAAACAGACCAATCGACTGAAATAGCCACACATTTCAAAATAAAAGCCCGTGTGGTGAAATCTGAACAAAGCCATAGTCCGAGCCTACAGCACCTGTTTATATAAGAAGCCCCGCCCCCTGGTGACGTTAAACCAATCCTAGAAGCTCATTGGATAAGACTGTGCATGGTGAAGCGTCTGATTGGCTGCAGCGGATTGCGACAGCGTCACGGGGCATGAACGTAATGCCACACGTGCTCAGTTCTATGTGTGTGTGTGTGTGCGCGCGCACAGATGACGCTGTAGGACAAAAGCACTTATTTTTGTTTTGCTCTTTTCTTTAAAATGAATTTAATCCAAGTCCTTCATGACTCGGAAGTCAAATCAAAATACAGTTTCTCTAGTTTTAATAAAACACGTTTCCACTTTATGATTATAGATTATTGATCGGAGATCAATCAGGAAAATCATTGTCTGTCCTGAAACAAGATCAAACTGATCAGCGAAGGAAGAGGCGGAGCTCCTATCTCATGACATCACGCCTGAAAATCACACAAAAAAATGTGTGTGTGTGTGTGTGTGTGTGTGTGTATGGGCGTGTGCGCTCGCTCAGGTTGTGCTGGGTTTCTGTGAGGACAAAGCAGCTGGTTGCCATGGTGAAGAGGTGGCAAAGGGCGGAGCTAAATACACAAACAAATATGACCAGGACAACAGGTAAGTCAACATACAGCACACAGATTATTCTTGCCACCCCGTTGTCCCTGACCAGAACCTGGCAACAGGTGCTCACAGTGCTGAAGTTCTGTGTCTTAGCTCATTACAACAGAACACGCGGCTCAGGTGTGCGTCTCCTCAGGTGCGACCACCCGGTGGACGGCGCAGGGCTTCTCTCCTTCATGACATTTCATTGGCTGACTCCTCTGGCCATGTGCGCTCGCAGAAAAGGACAACTCCTATTGGAGGACATCTGGCCTGTGGCACCGCGGGAGCGTTGCCGTGACAACAGCAGGAGGTGGGAGGGGCTAATGAAGGAAGGAATAACCTTCTGGTGCTGTCTCTAAAGTGAACAGGTGTGTTGTTGTTGGTCAGGTTGAAGAGTCTGTGGGAGGAAGAGCGGATGTCAAAGGGTAGCGAGGCGTCCCTGTGTTCGGCGGTTTGGTTGTTCTGTCGGTCTCGTCTCCTTCTGTCCATCCTCTGTCTCACCGTCACTCAGCTCGCTGGATTCAGTGGACCAGTACGTTAGAACCAGTGAAAATGTGTTGATGTGGAATTCACTCAGTACACACATTGGAGATGAGACCAGTCAAACCAGGATAATGGCTCCGTTTGTCTTCTGCAGGCGTTTGTGGTGAAGCGCCTCTTGGACTACAGCCAGGAGGAGGAGTCGGACCTGGTCTATGGGCTTCTACTGGTTCTGGGGCTCCTCACCATGGAGCTGATGCGGTCCTGGTCTCTGGCTCTGACCTGGGCCCTGAATTATAGGACTGGCTGCAGACTAAGAGGAGCTATCCTCAGCCTAGCCTTCGAGAAGATCCTGCAGCTGCGCAGCGTCAAGGACAAGTCCGTGGGTCAGGTTGGTTCCTCGTCCCTGCTCTGTGTGTGTCTTGTGGATTAGACCGGTCCATAAACAAGTCTCATTTGGTTTCTGTTCTTTATCACAGCTGGTGAACATGTGTTCCAGTGACGGTCAGAGGATGTTTGATGCTGCCGCAGTGGGCAGTTTGTTAGCAGGCGGGCCCCTCCTGGCTGTGCTCGGTGTTGCCTACAACTTGTACATCCTGGGACCAACGTCTCTCCTGGGATCTGCTGTCTTCATCCTCTTCTACCCCACGATGGTCAGTACCTGTACCTATCTGCACCTGGCAACGTCCTTCAAAATACCTGAAATAATCTCTTCTTTTGATTATGACTTACTGTTACTCTTAAGTATATTTAAAGGGATAGCTCAAGTGTTTTGTTTGATTAAAGTAAGCCTTCTGATCAGGATCAGTGATCGCGGTGCGTTGGTTCTCAGATGTTCAGCTCCAGAATGACGGCGTACTTCAGGAGGAAAGGTGTGGGCGTCACCGACAGACGAGTGCAGAAAATGAACGAGATCCTCAGCTACGTCAAGTTCATCAAGATGTACGCTTGGGTCAAAGCCTTCTCCGAGGACGTCCGAAGTACGGAAACACCGGTTTCTCAAACAAGCATGTTACCATGGAAACGCAGGTGCACACTGACGTTTTGTGTTTCTGTAAGGGATCCGGTGCGAGGAGCGGAGGTTACTGGAGCTCACAGGTTACTTCCAGAGCATCACGGTGGGCGTGGCTGCAATCGTTGTTGTCATTGCCAGCGTGGTAACTTTCTCCGCCCACATGTTGCTGGGATATGACCTGACAGCCGCTCAGGTAACATATTCAAGCACTTCTTCCTCTTAATATTGCTGCCATTGCTTTACCTGTTGACCCACCTGTTGACTCCTCCCCTAATTCAGGCCTTTACTGTAGTGACGGTGTTCAACGCCATGACCTTTGCTCTGAAAGTGACTCCATTTTCTGTGAAGTCTCTATCGGAAGGCTCAGTGGCCATGGAAAGATTTAAGGTGCGATGTTAACCAGGACACGTGGAACACACCTGGAACACTTGTAGCATGGATAAAGAGCTGGACAGGTTGTAAAGTGGGTTGCAGGATGTCGGGATCTAACTTGTCCATGTTTGTCCTCAGAGTCTCTTCTTGTTGCCGGAGGTTGCCAGTGTCCGGGCATCACCCAGCGACCCTCAGGTTGTCGTAGAAATGCGAGGTGCTACTCTGGGGTGGGAGGGGGTTGGACAAAGCACTCAGGCCAGTCCATGTGTCCAAGCAACTGGGAGATACCGGCAGAGCAACAAGTAAACTCCATCTTTGGTCACTAATCTGAACAGACATTTTCTGAATTAGTTGTTTTGTTAAAAAAAAAAAAAACTTGGTTCTGTTTGGTTTGTTCTTGTGTCCAGGTGTAGAGACACAGGTGTCCTTCAGGATGTTGAGGAACAGGAAGAGGTGACCGGTTCTTTGCTGGGAGGAAGAGACCAGGTCTCAAGTCCTGAGGAAGAACATGGAGAGGAGGAGAGTTGTCCCCCTCTTCTGGCTGTCCCCCGTGTCTCTCAGCGCCTTCATTGCACCTTGTACTGTATTGACCTGAGCATCCAGCAGGTAGATCCACTAATCCAGTTCAAAAAACAGAACCCCAGAGTCTGACTGAACTTACAGCTTTCTCTCTGTCTTTCTATTTTTCTTTCCCCTGTCCTGTCCATCCACCCCTCTGTCCTCCTGTCTCTCTATGTCTCTGTCCAGGGAAAACTGCTGGGTGTCTGTGGGAGTGTTGGCAGTGGAAAAACCTCCTTAATCTCAGCCATCCTCGGACAGGTGAGGTTACCTGCACTTTCTGCAAATCTTACGGTTGGTGAATAGTTTAGATTTTTGATTGGTGTATTGACAGATGACCATGCTGGAGGGCACCGTGGCAGTCAGAGGAAGGTTGGCTTATGTGGCTCAGCAGGCGTGGATCCTGAATGCAACACTGAGAGACAACATCTTGTTTGGACAGGAGTACCATGAAGACAGGTAGCAACATGTTGTAAACACTTCAGGAGGACAGGTTCTTAGCTGGACTAACTAGTTTTTCTCCATCTTGGCAGATATCAGTCCGTCCTCAGTGCTTGCTGTCTTAGACCGGACCTCAACCTGCTGCCCAACACTGACCTCACAGAGGTGACATCATTTCCTGTATCTTTCTGTAAACCATGTGTTTGGGTTGGTATCTACTTACAGCAAGCTGGAAAACTGACTGACTGACAACAGTTTTCTTGGTTAGAGTGCGTGGTCTGCAGTAGTACTCAGACCATGTGGGTCTGGAGGCCGTTCCCTTGTAAGAATTATGGATGATGGTGGTCCCAGTTAGATAGCTGGAGATAAGTTCATGGGTAAACTACTGAAGTTTGGAAAGCCTCCAGTCATCAGATGGAGGGTCCCTAGGGTGTTGGTACTGGATTTGGCTGTGCACCACCAAGACCCATGCCCCTGGACTGTTGTCAATGTTTAGTTGATTGTAAACCTGACAGGAACTGTAGCTGCTCTAAAAACACTTGTTCTAACGTTTATGAAACATCTGAAGAAGTCCGTGTGAAGCTGGGGTGATGGTCTCATGGTGGCTTTTCATTGATCAGATTGGGGAGCGCGGGGCCAACCTGAGCGGCGGGCAGCGGCAGAGAATCAGCTTGGCCCGTGCCCTCTATAGTGACAGGGACGTCTACATCCTGGATGACCCTCTTAGCGCTCTTGATGCCCACGTGGCAAATCACATCTTCCATCATGCCATCAAGAAGCATCTTAACAACAAGACCATCGTCTTCATCACCCACCAGCTGCAGGTGAACCTCATCGGGACAGATACAGAAATGTTTTGCTACAGGTTGTTGTCATGGCAATAACTTTTGTGTTGGTGTGCAGTACTTGGCAGACTGTGATGACATCATCCTGATGAAGGAAGGGGCCATTGTGGAGCAGGGTAACCACGACAACCTGATGAAACTGAACAGAGACTACACAGCGATGTTCAACCACTTCCAGCTGGGAGACCCACCATACTTTGAGGTACCGTTTCATCTCTGTCCATTTGTCTTTCCTTCTGTCTGTAATTGTCTGTCCCTTTATTCCTCAGATTCCCTGCAGGAAGAACAGCAGCTCTCAGAGAAAACCAGCAGATAGTAAACCTGGATCAGTGAGGAAGAGCACGCCAGTCATCAAGGACAATGGTAACCTTCACCTCTGTCCAGACGTTGATCAGAGAAATTAGCCTCCACAGTCTGACAGTGTTCTGCCATTTGTGTTGTCATGTGACTGAAGGGGAGGAGCAGCAACCCAGGGGCGTGGCCTGGCCTGTGTTTCGTATTTACATGACAGCGTGCGGAGGCTCCACCCCCTGCCTGCTGATCCTGGTCCTGTTTGTTCTAAATGTGGGAAGTGCCGCCTTCTGCCACTGGTGGCTCAGCTACTGGATCAACCAGGGCAGTGGGGTGAGTCACCTGAGCACCTCCTAGTTTCTCTTCATAATCATCACAGTCGTCATCGATCCTTCCGCTCTGCTTGACCAGAACACCACGGTGACCATGGGCAGCTCAGCTGTCAGCATCAGCATGAAGGACAATCCCAAGATGCAACAGTACACCACCATTTACGCCACCTCCATGGGAGTCATGCTGCTCTTCAAACTTCTCAGAGGAATCGCCTTCGTTAAGGTCAGATCTGGTCTTTGGGTCCACACAGGTCGGGTTTGTTGTTGTTCAGGATGTTGCAGGGACATTAGGTAGCTGCTTTCAGACCATCCATATCTTTTTATGGTTCTTCTGTTGACGAAGTTCTTTAAGTTTAAATGAAGGCAACAGGATTTTCTTTAAGGTTTTGATTTAGTTTTGTTTCTTTAATTGAGTTGATAATAGTTTAATTTTAATTCTAAACTCTCAAATCTGTCCCTTGTGATGGATCAATCTGTCTGTCTGTCTGTATCTATCGATCAATCTAAACATGAGGTTGGTTGTAAAATGCAGTTTGATTAAATGTGTTTTTACCTCAGTTGTTATATTGATTTATTTTAGCGTACAGAAGATGTTGACAGCCTCTGTGTTGTTCAAACTTTGTGCCGTACCCCTGCAACATCTTGCCACCAACTGAGAACTTTGCTTCCTGTGATCCTCCTCATCACTGGTCTTTGTTTTCTGGATGCTGAATCTTAGGTTGTGTCTTCTCAGGTCACCCTGCGAGCATCCTCTAAGCTCCATGACCAGCTCTTCCATAAGGTCATCCGCTGCCCCATGAAGATCTTTGATACAACCCCAACTGGACACATCCTCAACCGTTTCTCCAAGGACATGGACGAAGGTAACTTTATGAGACTGCAGTCTACTGAGCTGCTCGATGCCTGAGGGAGTCACAGTTTCTCTGTCTCCTTCCAGTCGACACCCGTCTGCCCTTCCAGGCAGAGATGTTCATTCAGAATGTGATCCTGGTCTTCTTCTGCCTTGGAGTCATCAGCTGGGTTTTCCCATGGTTCTTCGTTGCCGTGGTTCCTCTGGTTGTTCTCTTTTCTGTGCTCCACAGCATCTCAAAGGTCTTCATTCGGGAGCTGAAGCGTCTGGACAACATGACCATGTCACCCTTCATGTCCCACATTACCTCCAGCATCCAGGGCCTGACCACGCTGCAGGCCTATGGCAGGGGTCAGGATTTCCTGCACAGGTCAGGGTTCCAACCACAATACTCTGAAGTCCAGAGTCCACGACCTGAACATTGTCTGCTGTTGTTTCAGATACCAGTTTTTGCTGGATCAGAACCAGGCTCCATTTTACCTATTCAGCTGTGCGATGCGTTGGCTGGCGGTGCGTCTGGATGTCATCAGCGTGGCTCTGATTAGCACAACCGCCCTGATGATGGTCCTGATGCACGGAAAGATCCCCCCTGCCTATGCCGGCCTCGCCATCTCCTACGCTGTGCAGGTAACTCAAACCAACCTGTGGCCATGTCTGGTAATCTCATTAGACAAGACACCAAGGAACTCTGACCTAAACGTCATCGGGAAGAGTTACTCGTATTTCCAGAACTGTAAGGGGTTACAGAAGAACCTTAAATGTTTGTGTCTGTCAGCTAACAGGCCTGTTCCAGTTCACGGTTCGCCTGGCCTCTGAGACCGAAGCCCGCTTCACCTCTGTAGAGAGAATCCATCACTACATCCAGGTACTGGTAGTGTCTCTGGTCCTGCTGGTAGCACTGGTCTGTTAAAGACCCAAACCCAGAACCTTCATGTCTAAGAGGAAATGGTCAGACTTGGTTTCATCTCCTTCTCTAATTACTGCCATATTATCACTGTGCTGGTCTTAGCAAGCCCAGATTCTGGTTCTGACATGTGTGCATGTCTCAGTCTCTGTCCCAGGAGGCCCCGGCCCGGGTTAAAGATCGCTCCCCTCCTCCTGACTGGCCCCAGAAGGGAGAGCTGGAGTTCAGGGATGTTGAGATGAAGTACCAGGAGAACCTCCCTCTGGTCCTAAACAAGGTTTCTTGTACCATCCGTCCCAAGGAGAAGGTTGGGATTGTGGGCAGAACTGGATCAGGTAGGAACAAAGTTCTCCATTAAAGCTTCTGTGCTCTGCAGCCAACCGACGGTGAAGCACAGAACCATAACCAGTTTTGTGTTTCCAGTTGAACTGATGACTTTCATTTAGTTTTTATTAACTTAATGTGTCAATTGTTTTTTATCTGAAGTTTATTTAGCTAAGATCAAACCCTGCTGTGGAACAGATCAGCTCAATAAAACTTGCAGGAACTATACTGTAAACTAAATTATATCTTAAAGATACGTTAGATGACTTCCATCCTTCCTGTCACAGGAAAGTCGTCTCTGGGCGTGGTCTTGTTCCGGCTGGTTGAGCGCTGCGGAGGCTCCATCCTGATCGATGACATCGACATCAGTGACATCGGATTGGCCGACCTGCGCAGCAAACTGTCCATCATCCCGCAGGACCCGGTGCTGTTCAATGGGACGGTCAGGTAAGAACACCTGAGAGGACATCTACCTGCGGAGCCTCAACGGACCTCAGCTCAGATCAGCGTTTGTGTGCCTGCAGGTCAAACCTCGATCCTTTCAACCAGTACAGCGAGGAAAAGATGTGGGACGCTTTGGAGAGGAGCCACATGAAGGAGTGTGTGAGTCCATCTGAACCAAGTCCACTTCCTTATTTTACTGTGAGTCAGAATCACACCCGATCAGAGACGCAAACCAAGACAAAACTTGTCTGAAAAGGCAAGTTTATCACTTTTTACTTTGACTTTTTACATTCAAAGTTAAAGCTTTATAGACACATTACATGTGCATTTGACAACAAGACGGTGAGATTTGTCCATGAAGCACTTCCAGATAGCACCATAGTCCTGATAAGATGTTGGTGTCAGCCAGTACAGCTCTGATAAGCCTTCACAGAAGTTCTCGGAGGGGGGTTGCACAGGGGACAGATAGAGCAGAGCCTTCTTACTTTACACACATCCCAGGAGAAATTTGATAAGTTGGCCTTTTTCAAGGCCGAACAGGAGCGTCAGATTCAGATAAGCCACAGTTGTTTTTGTGCAGGCAGACTGTTGTTTCTCGTCAGCCTTGAGTTCTGCTGGTACTTTCGATCCAAAATGGCCAGATTTGTGGCCTTTCCACTGGTCCGTGCTTATTAGCTTCCTCCAAGGTCAATCCCAACATGCTGGCAAGTTCCAAAGCTGCAAGTGGCCTACGATTCTCATAAATCACTTCCATCTTACAGATGAGCTCGTAAATCAGCTGAGTCTGCTCGAAGCACGAACTGATCCTTCACATAAGGTCGGCAGCTTTGCCATGGCTGAAACCACCGCCGATGTCTTCCTTAATAGCCGATATCATAAGTACCCGACAGTGCCAAAAAGCAGAAACCCTGATATCTTAAATCCAATTATCTTCAGCGTCCTCCTGAGACGATACAGGAAGCCACATCAATTTCCACTCTCCCCACGGATCCATGACGTACCCAGCTGCGTGTGTCTCAGCGGGGCATGAGGGCTCTCCAGGACCCTGTCGCTTGGTTTAAATTTTTTTTTATAAATTGCGTTGAAAGTCCAGCTGGCCAGATCCATGTCAGTAATTTACGATTTGGAAGATGTGTACACAGACGCTCCGATACACAGGACACAGCAAAAACGCAGGAGGAGGACGGGAAAGGGAAGAAAACGCATCCGTCTTGCTCGAGAGCGAGTGAGGAAAAAAAATGTTAACAAATGTTGTTAATGTGAAAGTTTTCTGACAGTAAAAATTCTTTAAAAGTTGCTTTTTATTGAACAGGAAAGCACCGAGGCTATTATCCATACAAAACTTTTATATTTCTGGGTGTCTGAACTTTAAGTTTCTGTAATTTACCGTTAAAGATCTTCAAATCTGAGACGTTTAATAAGTCCAAATACCATCACTTCTAACTCGTTAATAATGAACTTGAAACTATTTCAGGATTTCTTAGACTTTTATGTCATAAAGAAAACGAATCAAGGTGAGATCTGTAGATTTTTATTGTCTGAATGTTTCTGAGTCGTTATTAGATACAGCAACATTATTATTCATTATTCAGATGACACATAGCTCATTCCACAATTTTTGTGCTATTTCAACAAATATCTCAAAACATTCGGCTCCTTCAGGACATTCCTGCTGTGACTTTTTCTATTTGTGCCATTTTTACTTCATGAAACAACATTTCCAGCCATGTTTGCTCGTTGAAAAAGAGTGGAGCTCTCCACGTCCTTCCAACCCTTTACAACCTTTTACTGCTCAGTTCAGCTTTTCTCCTGGTTCAGCTTTTTTCAGCTTTTCTCCTGAAAATTTCAACTTTTTCTGCTTTTTAGCTACTATTTAAGTTTTTGTTGTTGTTGCAAATTTAACCTTTTTCTGATACGTTCACTTATTTTTGCTATTTTCTGCTCCTCTCTAATAATTTAAACTTTTTATGTTCCTTTCTGCCTCTTTTTGCTGATTTCAGCTTCTTTCTCTTTTTTTTTTTTTTAGCTTTTTCAGCTACTTTTTTGTTAATTGCAGCTTTTGTCTGCTCATTTCAGTTTTTGCTCTAGTTCAGCTTTGTTTTGATCTGTGCTAATGTCACCTTCCTTCAGCTTATTTCAGTTTATTTATTCTAAATTCAGCTGTTTTCTGTTTTTTAGCTACCTTTTCAGTCTTTTTCTGCCTTTTCTAAGGAAAGATCCATCTTTGTTTCATGTCCAACTTACTGACAGTCCATCCATTTGTCCAACTGTCCATCTGTCCAATTTGTCTCACTGTCAGGTGTCCCAGCTGCCTCAGAGGTTGGACTCGGAGGTGATGGAAAACGGAGAGAACTTCTCGGTGGGAGAAAGGCAGCTGCTGTGTGTGGCCAGAGCTCTGCTGAGACAGTGCAAGGTGAGAGATGTACAGAGAGAAACACCCTGTCCTTTTTCAGCTCAATGATCCAGGTAGAAGAATCTAACCAGGTTGAGTCAGGTCCTCTGGATGAATTCTTCTTGTTGAAATATTCTGTCTTTTATCTAAAAGACTTCTTCAGTCTGAGGAGCTGCAAACAAAACATGCCAAACATGCATGTGAGCAGCTGGTTCTGGATGTCAGCAACAAACTGGTAGATCCACTATGAGAAGCAGCTATTTATAAGACTGAGTTTGTTGCAGCTCCTCAGACTGAAGAAGACTTTTGGGGAAAAGACGAAACGTTTCAACAAGGAAGAATCCGTCCAGAGGACCTGACTCAACCTGGTTAGACCGTGTCCTTTGTTTTTCCTGTCCCCTTTTTTCTGATTGGAGAAATCTGGCCTCAGGTGCTAATTCTGGACGAGGCCACCGCAGCCATGGATGCAGAGACAGATGCTCTGATCCAGGAGACAATCAGGACTTCGTTTCAGGACTGCACCACCCTGACCATCACTCATCGTCTCCACACCGTCCTGTCCGCCGACCGTATCATGGTGCTAAACAGAGGACAGGTATGGGCCAATGGGATCAATTCAATTCAGTTTATTTATAAAACACCAAGTCCCAACAAAAATCATCTCAGGGCACTGAACAGAAACTTTCATATGGATTATAAAAGACAATGAGTAAAGTTCTATTTGAGGAAGCATCAGATTGTGTTGAATCTTCACTTTGTAGCAGAATATATGTTTATGATCAACCCCCGGTCAACAACTGCCCACACTAAGCTGCTAAACTGGCGAGTGAGCAACACAGAGGGGTCTCCATCTCCTCCACCTGTGCACGTTTTCTGCCGAGGCAGGAGACTCAGCAGCTGCACAGTTTCTGCTCTGTGTTTAGAGTTGGAGGTAACCAGGAAAACCTGGAGTGGAGTTTTAGTGGTTTGAGTATTCTACTTTTAATCAAGTGGAATGGATTTGTTCATGAAGAAAGAGAAACTGCGCCGACTGAACTAATGTTTCATAGTAAAAGTGGGGGGGTCCAAATGAACGTTTTTTTAATGTGTGTGTGTGGGGGGGGGACACGTCCCCTTCACATATAATGGTTGCGACGCCTATGCCGCTGCGGCTGCCAGCACTCGTTTATTTTGTTTTTCCGACCTGTCAATCAATCCAGTAGGCGTGTCAGCAAATGAGCAGTCGGTGACCTCGAAGGTAAACGCCTCTGGTCTGTGGAGCCGACTGCAGCCGCTCAGGGTGGACGCTCGAGTATGAAGTCTAAACCCTCTGCGTACGTGCGCATGGACGGACGTACGCAGGAGTATACTGGGGGCTCAACTCCAGTTAAGACTCCGGCAGCAGCATTTTGGATCAACTGAAGACGTTTTAAAGAAGTATTTGGACACCCAGATAATAAACCATTGCAATAGTCCAGTCTAGACGTGACAAATGCATGGACCAGTTTTTCTGCATCATCTTTAGATCAGATGTTTCTAATGTTAGTGATATTACGCAGGTGGAAGAAGGAGGTTCTAGTAACGTTTTTAATGTGGGGGATAAAAGACATGTCCTGATCAAAAATAACACCAAGATTTTTAACATTAGAGCTGGAGGACAGATTAATGCATCTAAGGAGGGAGAAAGACTGAAA